CCCAGGCGCGCCCGGGGTGGGGGGACCCGGGGACCGGCTGTGCGCACGGCGCCTGTCGGCGCTGCATCCCTTGCTCCGCTCTCCACCCCGCCCTGTGATTGACAGGCAAGATGTCGGTGTGGAGCGAGGCAGGAGCCTTCACCCCTGGAGCCCAGCGGCGGCAGCAGCAGCGGCGACAGCGGCGGCAGCAGCAGCAGCAGCAGCAGTGTTGTCGCGGGGAGCAGACCGCAGCCAGCCGCAGTGGGCGCCGCAACCGCGCCAGGCGTGCGCACAGCATCCTGAGAGTGCGCTGAGCGTGGGGACCCGCGGACCATGCCGTGTCACCGCGACCGGGAGGGGGGCAGGAGCGCTCCTTTTTGACATAAAAGCCAGCCGGCCAAAAAGATTTATATACATATAAGTCCGCCCTTCACGGAGCCGGTGTGCGAAGCGTGAGCTCTATTTCCCTCTGCCTCCTCCTTCCACTCCTCCTCCCCTCCTCCTCCTCTCCCTCCTCCTCTTTCTCCTCCTCCTAAGTGTACAGACTGCACCCTACCACCTGGTTGGCTTCTGACAAACGGGTATCTCTCCCTTTTTAGGGACCAGAGACACAGAGAAAGAGAGAGGAGAGAGACAAGGGACATTCTAATGCAGACTGCCTGATACTCCCCCCCAAAAAATAATAATAAATTTTGGCTCTTGTCCCCTCCTCCAACCCCCACCCCCTCAAGCTTGTGTGAGATGTTGGGTTTCTTCAGGAGACACTGCTGAGAAGTCGCAGTGGTTGGAGAGGCGTAGGGGGGTGGACTCCCTCTACCTCCACTCCCTCCCTCCCTCCCCCTTTTTTCTTTCTGGGAGGAGGTGGAGGAGGAGGAGGGGAAGGGGGGTTGCAGAGCAAGCGATGGATGAGGAAAACATGACGAAAAGCGAGGAACAGCAACCTCTGAGTTTGCAAAAAGCCTTGCAGCAGTGCGAGCTGGTTCAGAACATGATAGACCTGAGCATCTCCAATCTGGAAGGGCTTAGGACGAAGTGTGCAGCTTCCAACGACCTCACGCAGAAGGAGATCCGGACCCTGGAGGTAGGTGTTGCCTGAGATGGGGGGGGGGCAACCCTGCCTTCTTTTCCTCTTCTCCAGTCCTACCCCATCCCTTTGGGGTTCTGTTTGTTGAGGGAGGGCCTGGGTAGGGGAAGGGTGAAGCAGGTGGGCACCAATGATGCGCTATGATTTATCACCTGGCAAAGCCAGCACGGATGTCCCTTCCCAGTGCGGCTGTTGTCTGTGCTCGGCCGGGTGGCGGTGGTAGCAGTAATAATTGCTGTTCCGTATTTATTATTATGGGTTGTAGCTGTTGCCATGATTATTCTTTCCTGTGGGAGGAGGGAGTTTTACTTTATTATTATTATCTTTTCTTTTTCTTTCTGTTCTTTTTTCTTTCTTTTTCTTTTCTTTCTTTCTTTTTCTTTTTCTCTTTTTTCGTGTTTGGGGATTTGTTTATATGCCGCCGGGCCGGGGGCTTGTGTGCTGGTTGACACGGTAAGGAGCCGCAGGGAACCCACGTGACCTTGTGCGTTCTGCAGGTGGTCAAAGGTGGTTTTGGCTGGTTTGATGGGGCTGCCTGAAAGGAAAGACTCGACCCCTTTGCTCTGCGCCTCACCCGTCACCCCCCATCTACAAAAGATGCATTACAAAAGGTCCCCAGGGAACTACCCGTTTCTAACACAGTCATTTGATGTAAGGGGATGAATGCAGGCCCAAAATGTGTACAAAAAGAAACAATGTTACGGTTGCTGGAGTGGTTCTCTCCCTAGGTGGCGTGGGGAAAACCCTCTTGAGTTGTCTGGCTGGGGGGCCAGGGGACGGAGCTGTGTTTGGCTCTTCGTAGCATCTCTCCAACAGAACTTGAGTGGAGTCGGAAGCAGTTTTCTGAGAGACAGTGACAGGGATGGCTACAAAGTCACCACAAAGAGATGGAAGGAACTACTTTCCTTCAAAGGCCATTTTCTCAGAGGAAACTTTCAGGGTTGTGAGAAAGGCCTGGTGTTCTGAAATCCTTGGGTGTCCACCTTGTTCAAAATGTCAGACAGTTCCAGCCCCCTCACCGTCCTGCTCACAAAACGGCCCATCTGTCCACAATTTTTGATTTAATTTGGGAATTCCCACGAGCTGGCATTTGCCAGGAGGTGGTGGCCATGGAGAGCAGAGCAAAGGAGGGTTCCCCTTTTAGTGGTGTGGCCATGGATCATGGAGCTTGGTGGTTTGGCTGGTCTCTGGCTTGTGAGTTCTTGAAGCCTGAAGTCTTCAGTCTCGGCTGGCGGGTCATCTTAATGCACCTCTCTGATTCACTTTTATTTCTCCAGCGGTGTTTTAAATTTGGGGAGGTAATCAATATGCAGGAGGTTATCATTTGGAAAGAGGAGTTTGTGTGTGTAGATTTTAATACAGCGCTTGCCACCTTCGGATAGATGTCTGTGCTCACCTGTCAGGCGGTAACACGATCCTGGGGATGGAATAAGATAAATAGCAATGTGGCAAGTGTGTTGGGGGCACAGGCGTCGCCTTTCTCAGAGTTTTGAGAGCGAGAGAAGGCTTGGTTAACGTTTGCTGCTGGAAGAAAAAGTGTGGGATGTATTAGCCCAGCCCTGGTCTCTGCACAGGGCCCACAGCAGATTGGTTCAGAGCTATACCTGGGAAAGCTTATATAGATAACCCCTGAAGGCCACCACCACACCTCTTCTAAAAGAACCCCCATGCTGGGCTCATTATTGAAGTTTAAGTTTCTCACAGGTTCCCTTCTATTCTGTCCTCTGATGATTCCCAGGAGAGTGGTGACCGACACAGCTGGGCACTCTGACTGGGGATGTAGCTCAGGGGTCCAGTGTTTTTGTGGCATGCCAAGGCCCTGGGTTCAATCCCCAGCACTGTGCAAACACACAAACTGACAGTGGGTACCTGGTTCTGTGTTGTCTCTCTGCAAGGTGGTTTACATTTGAAACGGGGAGGACAGGAGCACTGGTCAAGAAGTTGGAATCATAGGTGTCTTAGTCAGGGTTACTACTGCTATGATAGTAACATGACCAAGGGAAGTTGGCTACGAAAGGGCTTATTCTACTTATGCGTCCACACCATAGTTTATCACCAAAGGAAGTCAGGGCAGGAACCTGCAGGCAGGAGCTGGTGCAGAGGCCATGGATGGAGTTGCTTACTGGCGTTCCTTCATGGTTTGCTCAGCCTGCTTTCACCAGCACAGGGATGGCACCACCCGTAACAGGCTGGGCTCTCCTGCCTATTATAATGAACATTTTCTTATGAAGAAAATGCCCAGCAGCTGGATATAATGGAGGCATTTTCTCAGGTGAGGTTCCTGCCTTTCAGATTACTCAAGCGTGTGTCAAGTTGACATAAAACTAGCCAGCACAATAGGGAAACATCTTTCTTCTGAGGGTACCACAGGGCACACCAGTCACTTGATCCTTATTGCCAGTGACTGTTTTGAAACAATGATGTCAGTTTTGCCTTTCTAAGTCCCTAATAGGACCAGGGGGTAGGGGAGGATCCTCGCCCTGGGGAGGCTATGCTCCTGCTAGACTTCATGTTTGTATTCACTGAGTTTTCCTCCTTAACTTTTTTGAAAGCCTCACAGGGGTGCTGGCTAAAGTGTGGATGCCCAGCATCTGATGGCCACATTCTAATTTAGCTGAAATCGGAGAGAGGGCCGAGGAATCTGCATTCAGTAAGCAGACAGGGTGCTTCTGTGTATAAGTTTTCCTTGGTGGTGCCAGGAATTGATCCCGGTACCTTGTAAAAGCTAGACAAGGGCTCTACCACTGACTTTAACCCCAAACCCCAGGTTTCTGATTCAGGTTTTGATAGGGATACTTTATGAATTACTTATCCAAGCTGGGCATGGTGGTGCACACCTGTAATCCTAGTACTTGGGAAGCTGGGACCGGAGGAGGGAGAGTCCAAGGCTAGCCTGGGTCACATAGTGAGACTGTGCCTCAAGTTAAAAAGGAAAAGAGGGCTGGGTTGTGGTTCAGTGGTGGAGATCTTGCCTAATATAGCCTGTGCAGCTCCAAACTCTGAAAAAATACAAAAACAACAACAGCAAAACTCAAACAACAACAAAAGCCCTGATCCATCAGGACATGTGTACTCCAGCTTTCTAGTTTTGTTTTAATATCACCTTGAACTTTGATTATTGTGCTTGTGAGTACAAGGACACACTCTACTTTGGATCCAGGGATTGAACCCAGGTCCTCAGGTTTTCAAGGCAAGTGTTTGTCACCTTGCCAGCCCTTATGTGTATGTGGGTGATTTAGTTGGCTCATGGCTCTGTCAAGGGCAATGATATCCATCTTTCAGGCAGAATCCCAAGGTGGCTCAAGGCATCACATGTTGAGAGACAAGTTCCCTGTTGTTTCTGCCGTTTAAGGGTGACAGCTCCCTGCTCACAAACGCCAACCTGAACATATTGATGATAATTAGTATGCACTCCTCAAGAAATAAAAACACTCCATGTGAACTTGGCCTTCACAAAGCCTTCTTCTTGGTAGGGAAGAGAGGTTTACTTCATAGTAAAGTGACAATGAGGGCCAAACCCTGAGGACATTCTGATGCCTTTTCTCTGCCGGTTACAAGATGGCTCCATTGCTCCAGCTGCCACATCCGCATTTAAGGCAGGAAAGAGAAGGATTCTTTGAGTGTGGAGAGATGGAAGCTTCACATTTTTGGCTTCAGGAAACAAGGACTTTTCTGTGGTAACCTTCCTTCTCAACAGCAACGTTCAGTTCTGTTTTCTTGGCCATAGTGGGGTCAAATGTTCTAGCTGCAAGGGAGGCTGGACAGAGTGGAATAGTCATCCTTTTCCTTGCCCGGGATGACCCCTGTGCCCACCATATAAAGTCAAGGTTCTGCTTTCATGGGGGAAGGGTCAATGGGTGTGGGACAGGCCACCAATGACACCAACTCCACATTTTATTGGTGGAAATTTTGATGGAGAAGAAAATCGTTGCTGTGGAGTTTGAGAGGGGCTGGCGACCTAACTGCTCTGCTTTATGTTGGATACAAAGGGAAACATTTTAGCCAAACTGACAATCTTGAGTAATAACTCCTGCCTCAGTGGGGTCGTAGGGATGGCCAGTGGTGACACTTTCAAAGACACTAATGAACTAAAGTGTCATTAGGTACTAAGCAGACAATAGGGCATAGGCAGATTGTATTTATTACTCTTCCCTTTGTTGTGACTGAATACTGTTGGAAAGTACTTTAAAAGAAGGTTTATTGCTGGGTGGTGGTGGCGCACACTTCTAATCCCAGCACTCGGGAGGCAGAGACAGGCAGATCTCTGTGAGTTTGAGGCTAGCCAGAGTTACATAATGAGTCTCTGTCTCAAAAACAGAAACAAATAAACAAACCAGTCACAGCCCATCGGGATGGGAAAGCGTGGTGACAGAAGGCATCAGGTCTTATTCAGTCATTAATAAGCAGAGGGCAGATATCAAACTTCAAGACTTGCCCCTCAGTGACTCACTTCCGTCAGCAAAGCAGCAGTTTTAAAGCAATGGTTCTCAACCTTTGGTCATAGAAATGGTTCTGTGACCTGTTTGGGGTTGAATATCAGATATTCTACATATCAGACATTTACATTACAATTCATAACAGTAGCAAAATTATGAAGTCGCAATGAAATAATGTTGTGGTTGGGGGGGTCACCACAATATGAGGAGCTGCATTTAGGGGTTATAGCGTTAGGAAGGTTGGGAACCACGGGGCTACAGGTGCGACAACTTTCTAAAGCAGTGACACAGGTTGGAGCCCGTGGAACAGTGAGGGTGGTCAGTAGGGGGTGGTGCGGGGCAAATGACAGGGGAGTGGCTGGGTGCAGAGGAGCTTGAGTGACATTTCTGAGCGTGTGAGGGAGCACAGTGGCTATGTGGGATGTTAGCCCTGTGCCAGAAGCGAACATGCAACACGTATTCTATGGGCAAAATAAATTCTGTGCTGACAGGGTTTGGAAACACGGAGTGCAGGACTTCTCAGCGTCTTTACTGTGTCGTCTGTGCACACTGTACCTCGGA